CGCGACCGCGGCGCCAGCCGACTCCAGAAATCCCGCTGGGGGGGCCTAGCTACCGTGCCTCTGCGCGAGAATGGCCAGCCCAAGGTGCGCTGGATCTCGGATGAAGTTATAGTTGCGACGCAGCCCAGGCCGGGCCCGACCGGCCGCGGAGAGCATCGGCCAGGCAAAAAAACCGGATAACCCACAACTTGCCCGAGCTACACGCCAAGGCCCACGACGTGGAGGAATCGCGCAGCTCTTCGACGTCAGCCAGCTGCCCGGGCCGACGGAGGACGACCTCTCTCGGCCCGCGAACGTCTCCGGGGAGCCAGGGCCAGGCCCAGCAGGCGCAGGCGGGGCAGCGCCAGCGCCTGAGCAGGCCACGGCGGGCCAGCTTCGACAGGCGCCAGGCGACCAGAGTTTGGAGCCGCAAGCCGAGCCAAAGTCGCCCAGTCGACCGACGTGAGAGCCACCGGCAGCGCCGGCAGACGCAGATGGGGCCCATCAGGACGCGCGCTGCTCGCCGCGAGCTCTGGGCGGGGCCCTGAGACCGACTGGGGGCGCAGCAGACGTGGCGTTTCTGAACCGCGAGACAATGTCGCAGGGGCGGGGCTCTGACGGCGAGGCCGCGGAGTTCAACTTAGACCGAGATGTGCGCCGTGCCGCTAGCGAGCTCACCGAGAGAAGTATGCGGCAGCAGAGGGCGCGGCAAAATTTGCGCATGCGAAGCGGGGGGGGGGGGGGCTGCGCAGAAATTTCGAGAGCCGAGCCTGGAAGCAGGGTGCAAACGAGATGGGCACCCCAAACAAGGTTCAGAGGGCGCGCTTCATACTAAAGTGGTCCAAGAAAGCTGGCGGCGGCGACGGGGCCAAGGCGCGACTTGTCATCCGAGGTTTTCGTGGCCCAGATGCTACTGCGATGGCGCGACTGAGGCGGACCTGGCGTCAGCGCTTCGCTCCTGCAAGAGAAACCATCGGATCGTGGCAGTCCAATGCATCTACCTTGGGGGCGCGCAGGATGCTCGGCTACACGCTGGAAAAGGACGTGGCTGCTCGAGAGCACGCGGCTTGAGCGACGCCCCGAGGCTCTGGTGGGAAGAGGCGACCGACCGCATGATTGAGCGCGGCTTCGTGATTCAACCGCAAGGCACCCGCCTGTTTCTCAGCCGCCGCGTCCAGGAAGGCGCTCGGGAGAAACAGCTTGAAGGAGAGATCTGGCGTCGCGTCGACGACGGGCCCGGGGGCGGCAGCGACGAGAAGAGCGCGGCGTGCTTCGAGTCAAGGGTCCAGGAGCTAGAGAAAACATTCAACTTCAGGTCGCGGGAAGATACGGGCAGATAGTGACGCGCTGGACATTGCAAGGTATACGTCCATGGATACTTGTGGCAACCAGCTGAGTCAATGCCCAGGTGGAAACTGCCGAGTGAGTCGCGAGACCTCTACGTCGAGCAACCGAAGCCCACGAAGGTTGCCAAGGCTAGGGCAACGACCACAAGTTGGCAACTACCGAGGGCGAGCGCCGACAACTACGAGGACAGATGGGTAGTCTAGCGTGGACCAGCAACCAGGCAGCGCCCCACTTGCAGCGCCACGTAAGTCTAGGTCAGGGCACGATCAACGACAGCGCCATCGTACAGAATCTGATTGAGGGCAACAAGACGCTGAGGTTCGCCAAGTCGAACAGTGACGCGTGCCAGCTTTTTCCCATATGTGTGCAACAATCCAGACGACGTGGCTTTCGTGTGCGTGACGGATGCCGCGTGAGCGGTACGGAGAGACGGCAGTTCACAGGGCGGCTATCTGATGATGGCTACACACAAAGACGCGCTGAAGGGCGCGACAGTCAAGTACTTGGTGGTCGGCTGGCGATCGTGGAAGCTACCAAGGGTGAGAAGGTCCTCGTGGGCTAGCGAGGCCCAGGCCGCCGCAGGTGGAGTTGACGCTCTTGGGTACGTGTAGGTGCACTACAGCCTGATGCTCAAAACGCGCCAGGATCCGAGGCTCAACGCCACCATGCAGGTACTTGGTATGGGCGCGCTCGTGGTGGACGTCAAGTCTGTCTAGGACGCTGCGCAAAAAAAATACATATGTTCGACAAGCGGACCAGCATCGAGGTGTAGGTGACGAGTGAGCGCATGATCTCGATGGCGACCAGCTGGCAATTGGTCAGAACGCCAGTTCGCCGATCGCTTCACGGAGCTGGCGGCGCAACAGCTACTGGCCGATCGCCTCACATCTGGGACAATACGCTTGATGTGTGACGACAAGTTCCATGCTGCCAGAAAGAAGAGCGCCAAGGACAGACAGCTGAAAGAGAGGAAGTTCGCCACTCCGCAGCTGACAGCGGTGGGGAATGCAGCGGCGACGGCAAGCCTCATCGGCATGTTGGCTGCAGCCAGCAAGGTGGACAAGTACAAGGCGAAGGAGGACGACGGCCTGGTGAAGTTCGCGTGGCACGATACTCGCATGATCGTGGCCAACTTTCCTCTGATAACCACGAGTAAATGGATGATGCACGTTATCGTAGCTACCATGGTAACTATCATGATCGTGGCTGGAATGTAATATGCGAAATGCCGTGACAAGGCACATACTACAGAAAACCGTGACAAGGCACAGACTACGGAGTGCCGTGACACGGCACAGACTACGAAAACCATCCCCAGTGAGAGAAAGACGAAGAAGACACAGAAGAAGCAGAAACGGACCTACTGCGACACCGGGATGATGAGCCAAGTCGCCTACACCAAATTTGGCAAGGAGAGTGGAAGCCGCTATACTCACCAGACCCACGGCTTCGTCAAAGCCTGGGAGGTCACCAAGGAGCTCGTCCAGGACGCATGGCCTCACGGTGATTGAAGCGCCGCGTTAAAACACGTTTTGTATGTCTTTTCTTGCCTCATGTTTCTTCTCCTTCCTCCTCTCGCAAGTCCGACCGATCCGACCGATCCGAGGTCAGACCGAACCGACGTCAGACTGTTCAGAAGTGTGAGCTACCCACTTTAGATGTGCAGTGACTCTCGGGTTGTTTTTGTGTGCTGCTGGAGTGCTCTACACACACATATATATACATATCCACAACTCAGGACGGTGAGTTTCTCCTTCCTACTGGTGGATATTTACTCCCTGTTTCACCAGTGTGAGATGTATTCCATACAATGTGTATGTCGGAGGCTCTGACTCAGATGTTAGGTCAGACTCTCCCCCTTTCGTTCCATCACGTCGGCATGCACGGTAGCAGCAGGCAACAGATAGAGCAAGCATGGGAGCATGTACCGACGCTGCTTCAGTTCGAGACGCCTCTCGCACTTACCAGGCGGGAGCGACTCTCCCCCATGGGCACGCAGGGGCGGCAGAGTGGAGGCGAGCGAGGAGAAGTTGGCGGAGAGACTGGACCTCGATTCGACAGGCTCGGAGACTTCGAGCGCTTCGACCAGTGGGCAGCTCCTCCTCCTTCTCTCCCTTATCGCCCCTGTTTCTCCCCCTTATCGCCCTCCCCCTTTATCGCCCCTCCTTATCGCCCCTCCTTCTCCCCCTTTATCGCCCCTCCTTCTCTCCTTCTCCTCCTCCCCCTTTGTCGCCCCTCCTCCTCTTTGCTGTGTGCGCGGTCTCCTCCTCTCCTCCTCCTCCTCCTCCTCCTCCTCCTACTCCCCCTCTCCCTCCCCTTCTCTCTGTCCTTCCTTTCGCTCCCCCTCCTTCTCCTCCTCCTCCTCCTCCTCCTCCTCCTCCTCGCAAGGGCCTCGATTCTATATTCATCCGCCCCCGTGCCGCTGGGCACGGAGTGGGCGTGCCCCAAGGTCCTTTGCCTAATCATCTAAGCTTCTGTCCTCACGCCTGAGGAGTCTTTAAGAGGCCTGGGCCCCAAATTCTCAAATCTTCCTCAGCTTGGCGCGATTCCCCTGGTCACCGGCGCATCTTCTCGCGTGATTTGTTCGGACCCAAGATGGCCCCAACCAAGACGGGCCAAGAGGGCCCCGAGAGCCCCTCAAGACGGCCCAAGGGGGCCCCGAGACGCCCCAAGACGCCCAAGATGGCCCCAAGAGGCCTCCGAGACGCCCCAAGAGCCTTCCCAACAGGGCCCCGCGAGGCCCAAATCATACATGTCCCATACGGTGTTTCAATGATTCTGGCGTCCTCGATCTTTCGAGCTTCCGTCGCTCCAAGACGGCCCAAGAGGCTCCCAGGACCGCCCAAAGAGTCGTACAGGAGGGCACAACACGGTCCAAGAGGGCCCCAAGGCGGCCCCAGAGGCGCCCAAGACGGCCCAAGAAGACCAAAAGACAACCCCAAGAAGAGTCTACGAGTCCACGAGGGGGAACACGAACCGACAATTCGAGCCTTCTGCCCCAAGAGGTCCCCAGGAGGCCCCAAGCAGACCCCGAGAGGCTCCCAAGAGGCCCCAAACCCCCCAGAGGCCCTGAAGACGCCCCGAGGAGCTCCAAAACAGCCGCCCCGAAGAAGCCTCAAAACGGCTCCCAAGAAGCCCCCGACAGGCCTCCCGTGGCATCTCAGCGAGCATCCCAGAGGCCTGTGACCCACAGCCAGGCACGGTGGCGGGGTGGGCCGAGAGCAATTACATTCACGTGCCTGGTCGCCAGCGTGGCTTCCAGCTGCAGGGTCCTGGCAATGTGTTCGAAGTCCACGCGCAGGCATGCATCCCCATTGCAGCCTGAAGTAGCAGGGGGGTACGAGGGTCTTCAACTTGACCAACTTTTTGGGCCAAACTCGGGGACATGTATTGGAGGGGGGCGTCTTCGATCGGGATGCTACCGAATGCCCCCCCCCCCCGAGCAGATGTTTGTGGTCGTTTGTTGGGGTGTGTGTGTGTGTGTGTGTGTGTGCGTGTGTGTGTGTGTGTGTGTGTGTGTGTGTCGTGTGCATGCGTGCGTGCGTGCGCGTGCGCGTGCGCGTGCGCGTGCGCGTGCGCGTGTGTGTGTGTGTGTGGTTTGTTGTGTGTGCGTGGGTGGGGGGGGGGACTTGGGGACTGGAGGCGGGAAATCGACTGCGTTCGTACCCCTGGAGTACATCGGCTTCTCCTCCATTGAGACGGCGCCGAGGCAGCATGCGGATCGCGGCAGCGAGCGCAAGCTCGCCGCGCAATGACGGGGGCTACGCGCGAACCGCGCCACGGAGGCCTCATCACTTGCCCTTCTCCAGGTACCTTGCGCCCCGAAAAGGGGATGAGTGGGTCGTGCGGGCTGGCACAGGGCTGAGTCTAAGCGGTGTTCTTCGGTTTCATGTTGTTTTCGTTTTCCCTCGCTTTTGTCTCGAATCCGCCTTTACCGCAAACCGAAGTCGAAACGAAAACGGCCTACGAAATCGCAAAACACACCGTTTAGGTCCAACCCTGGGCTGGCACGGGTGCGGGAGAGGGAGTGAAGAGCGACACCGGCAGGGACTGCGGGGAAGGAGGGAAAGAACAGCAGGGAGCCGAGCGAACCAGGATGTGACTGGGGAGCAGGAGGAGCAACAGCAAGGCAGGAGAAGGATGACGACGACACGCGTCAGAGGGTGGGTGTCCTGGATGCCCTACCCTCTAAATGCGTATGTTGTTCCCATCCTACTTAAGGACCTCATCCCAGAAATGATTTCGAGCACCCGGCAAAGTGTCAAAAGAGTGTCGAAACAGTGTCGGGCGAGTGTCTCCCAGGGCCCGACACGTGAAAACCCTCGAGTTTCGGTACCTCTTTGGTGCTCGAAATTCTTCCTGGTGATCAAGACTAAGGTAGGTCGGAACATCATAACTCGATGCTTGCTCAAAACTCCCTCGTCGTATGGATGCTCCTGTCCGTCTCTTCCAATCCATGCGGTGGAAAAAAACTGAGGCTGAGGGCGAACGCGAGCGCTCGAGCGTCCGTGTTTTTTCGCTGCCGCACTCTCCCCCACACAGCACCCCCATCCCTCCCCCATCCCTCCCTCCCTCTCCCTCTCCCCTTGCCTCCCTCATTCCTCCAAGCCTCTCCATCATTCCCTCCCTGTCTGTACCGCCTGCTCCGTTCTTCCCTGTTCCCCCTCCCCGCCTGGCCCAGCACGGGTTCCCCGTTCATCATGCCTGCTCGCCCTGCTCCTCCTTCAACTCGTTATCCTTGTTCTTGTTCTACCAGTCCTGCTTCCTCCTGGTGCACATCCGTCCGGTCCTCGTCATACCATCGGGTCATCCTCCTCTCTCGCGCGGGACTTCCTCACAGTTTACACACAACTCGCCCTCTCGCTTGGAACTTCCTTGCGATTGATTCAGACGCCGCGCCCTCGACAATCAGGAACAGGGCTCGAGTTAAGCAGTGTTCTCCGTTTTCGTTTTGTTTTCGTCATCCCTAGTTCTGTCTTCGTCCCACATTTGCTGCAAAACGAAGTCAAAACGAAAACGGTCCACGAAATTGCCAAAACACCGCTTAGCCCGAGCCCTGATCACGAATCACGCTCTCGCTCTGGACTTCCTCACGACGTGCTCGGGATCTGCGCTGTCACCAGAGGCGTGCTCGCGCTTCATGCCTCCTCCTCCTCCTCCTCCTCTTCGTCCTCCCCATCCTCCTCCTCCTCCTTCTCCTGTTCGTCCTCCCCATCCTCCTCCTCCTCCTCCTCCTCCTCCTCCTCCTCCTCCCTCCCCCCTTCCTTCTCCTTATCCTCCTTCTCCTCCTCCTCCTCCTCCTCCTCCTCCTCTTCGTCCTCCTCCTCCTCCTCCTCCTCCTCCTTCCCCCCTCCAACTCATGGTGGGTGTGCTGGAGAACAGGCCCCCGCGGCCGCTGGGGCGCACCCGCCCGCCCGCCCGCGGCCGTCAGGGGGTCCGCCCAGCCCGACGCGCCCGCACGGCTCTGCCGCGCGTGCTGCCCTGCTCCAAAAGCCCCTCTCCTGCGGCTCTCTCTCTCGGGCTCCATCCTCCTCCCAGGGCTCCCAGCTTCGCGCTCCCGCGCTCCGCGAGAGCGCGAAGAGCTTCGCGCTCCTGCGCCGCCCGCCCCAAAGGGGGAGAAGAGAGGACGCCGAGGAGGAGGGGGAGAAGGAACGAGGACCGCGAAGCGAAGCGCGGATACCTTCGCGCCCTCGTGGGAGCCCTTGCTTCCCCATGTGCCCTGTCCCTTCCATCCTCCCTCCCTTCCTCTGCTTGGGGGGGTGCGCCAAGCACACATGGCAGATCGGGAAACTATCCCGCCCAAATGGGGGCACGATCGAAGACGAAGAGGGCGGGTATCGAGGGCTTGGGAGCATACGCGTTGAATGACACACGGGCAGACAGCAAGAGTGACGAGCACCAACGATATGAGAATGGTAGAAGCTGCTTGGGAACCCGCGGGCCCGACCAGGGCTCCACGGGGCTGGCCAGGCCGCCCGAAACAACACATTGCACGGTTAAGCAAAAGCCTTCAAATGTCCCCGCGGATTACTTGACTCGGCGCTGGAGCCCCCTGGCGCGCTTCGCGCGCCAGGAAGGGGCGGGTCCACGAACCCCGTGCGGACCTTCGAACATTCATGCTCATTCCGGTTTCGCTTCTCCGACTGAGCCACCCCCCTCAATGCTGGGGAAACCAACAATACCAACACCACTACTCCACTGACCTCTCCCGGGTAGCGTTCAGACGAACATTATGATTGAGGCGAATCCAGCGGTGGCGACGAGGGCCTCCCAGGGGCCCCGGAAAGTGGAAAACGAGGGAAGGGTGGCGGTATGAGTATCTTTTCCTCCTCCGACCGCCAACATCATTCCTCCTGGCACGGAGGCGGAGGTGACGCCTTTTTCAGCCAGCCTCGCGCCAGGGGGGCAGGTATATATCTGTGCAGAGGCTGGGGGGGGGCGCCCGGGCATCCACCGCCGCAGGTGAGGACTCGGCGGTGGACAAACCTCCCTTTAGTACACCTCCCCCTAATGAAAACGGCCTGGGACCGAAGCCGACGGACCTGGACCCGCAAAAATGACGGCCGCGACACCCTCTCGCGAACCGAAACCGGCCAATTTCTTAATCGACGTGTCAGGGCAGGAGGTCTATCCACCTCCGAATATGTGTCGCAAACGTTTCAAAAGAAACCACGTTTTGAACACGTCTCACCCGTGTACGGTCAGCCCGTATAGTAAGGAGGCGCGGAAAGGATGCAAGGGCCTTGGACGCCCATTTCGAGGCTTTCCGAGCGGGGCACGGCCAGCGAGTGGCGAGGGATGGACCAGGGAGGCGAGGATGCAAGGGCACCCTTGGGAAGGCTGCCCATCCGAACTATGCGGGTTGACTGTAACTGTTGGATCGCTCAATCTTCATTCCCGCAACACGCGACAAACCTAACGCGAAACGACCAGACCGCCCCAGCGACACGTCTGGTGCTGCGACGAAGAAGAGCCGCTCAGAAGGAACATGGACGTGGCAGCAGGAAGAGCAGGAGCAAGAGCAAGACCACGAGGGGCAAGAATATAGGAATGAGCATGACCTCCTCCTGGTCCTCCTCCTCCTCCTCCTCCTCCTCCTCCTTCTCCTCCTCCTCCTCCCCCCCTGTTCCTCCTTTCGTCCTCCTCCCCCCCTTCTCCTCCCTCGCCTCTTCCTCGCCCTTCTCGTCCTGCTCCTCCTCTCCTCTCCTCTCTGGCCCTTCTCCTCCCGTCCCCTTCCCCTTCATCCTCCTCCTCCCTGCCCTCCGCCCCCTCCTCGTCTTGGGTCGGCACTGGGCCCCCCCTGGTTGCGCCCCCGGGTGCCGCTCCCAGCGCGCCTTGCGCGCCAGGGAGGTGAGGACCAGCGCCGATCCAAAAAACCCGCGCTGGCCTCTATGAAGAGGCCCAAGGACACACAAATAAATACACACACACATATTTTCCCATATTGTCTGGGCTTCTGTCTTCCCGCCCACTTCCCATATTTTCCCATATTTTCTGGGGAATTCGAGGATTAATTGTGTCTGTGTGGTTCTTTTCCTCCTGACTCTAGCGACATTGGGCACACGATGATGTGAAACCTGCCCTGGCAGGTCTGATTTCTGGACCGGCCAGGGGGCTCAGAATCCGAAGGACTTCTGCAGCCGGAGGTGAGCCCCAGCGGGGATGCCCCGATACCCCAGCGGCGATAGCGCGCGCAGCGCTGGGACTCGCAGGTGGACGCAGAATCCAGACATGAAGAAGCGCTGTAGCTGGAGGCCTTCCACAGGGGGTCTGACCATTTGACAATTTAGGGTAAGCCACTCCGAAGATCACACCTTCCCTGTGACTACATGCCCTGGCCGAGTCGCGCTTTACGAGTTGCCCTGCCCACTCTGCGTCTGCTGCATATGCGTGTCATTCGTCATGCGGAGATCTGATAGATGGGGTCGGAGGATCGCGCCTCGGGGATGTCTGCGATGCGTCGGCGCAGTCGGCGTGCACACCATCGGGTTCCACATCGAGCCGCATCGCTGCTGCACTGGCGATGCGGCGCGATCCTCCGACCCCATCTGCTCGGACCCTTGTCTGGGCGATCGACATGCTATCCATGCCCACGCTCACGCCCCGACCCCTCGACGAGGGGCCAGAGCGGCGGCATGGACAACAAGTCTGGCCCCCCGAGCCTCGCCACGCTGTGCATGCCCTGCTTCCCCTATCGCCCAATGTGGGCAACAGCAGTGGTATGGATCGAGCGTCGATCGTCGATCCCCCGACCCCGTCTGCTTGGACACCGTTTCAGGCGCTCGGCATGTCGTCTGCGCCCCTGCTCGCGCCCCGACCCCACGAGGTCCGGCGCAGATCCAAGACATCCGCGCGGACCTCTGGAAGCTTGTGCCTGCGCCGCTTTCTGTTCTTCGTCTGGCGGTGCGCAGAGCTGGCCATCGCTCGGAGGTCCACTCCCTGTGCTTTTTCTCGGTTTCGGGCGCGGCTTCTTCGCAGGATGCTCTGGGGTGCTCCCCCGTAATCCCCGCCGAGACAAAGGTGCACACGTCCGAGCGACACCGAGTTTATGTTCTTCGACTGGCGGTGCGCAGAGAGGCACACTCTGCCAGCGGCGGCGGGGACTGGCGGCGCGCGCGAGGCGCACGGGGCGCGGCAGCCACTGGCCATCGCTCGGGCGTCCATTCCCTGTGTTTTTGTTTCGGTTTCGTGCGTGGTTTTCTCGCCAAATGATCCAGGATGCTCCTCGATGGTCCTCGCCGAAAGTAAAGTGCGCACGTCCGAGCGATGCCAGGGGCAGCGAGCGCCAGCAGGCCCGGGCTCGGCCCGGGCTCGC